TTCATGGTGGTCCAACTAGGCTGAGCCTATGGGACTCTGAAATGAGCTAATCACAGTTGATTAGTCACTTACATTGAGAAAGAGGGTGCTAATTTAATCAAAGGGGAAATTCATGGACAAGTCCACTAATCACACTCAAATAATAAAGATGACGATTTTAATGGAATAAAAATTTGTGTGCACCAGGCAATTTGCCATGCAGATAACTATAGGAGCAGATATTCCAATATCTCACGATTTGCCCCAGTTGCAAAGAGTTTGGACTTCTTTTCTACTATATCAACCCATGATGTAATTTATTGAGAACAATTCACAAGTAAAGCCAAAATCATTATAAAAAGTGCTGGTTAGTGATTTTTTTTTTGTTCTTTCCATGCAAAGTGCTAAATGATTTAGGCTTAATTTGATTGTTATTTGTTCTATGTGCTTCAAATAGCAAAAAGTAAAAGTATAATATTTGGGTATAATTTTTTTTCAAATTTTCAGATGTTATACACCCAATCACTCATTTTTTAAGTTAAATCGTATGATTTTGCTTTAGTTAAGTATATTCTTTTTCGGCTGATTTTCAATTGTAAAAATTTCATCGAAAATTTATCAAAAATATTTGAGAATAGTTTTTATCGAAAATTCGATGAAATTCTTTCAAGTATTTTCTGTAGAAAAAAGGAAATTTTTTTAATGAAATTTAAGTATAGTTTTCACAAAGTTATGAGATTTTATATCATATTTAATGTTTACCAATTAGGAGTTGTGAGAAGTACCAAGTCCTCCTATGTTTTTATTTCAGGTGTAAGTTTTGGGACATTGATGAAATGATGAGACTATTTCCAAATAGTGTGAGTTTCTACCAGGTGAATGAGTGGGAAAACAAAGAAAAGAAGACTGTAAAAGACAACTACCGTTTTAGACTTTGAATCTCACCCATGAAATCAGGATGATCATGATTTCGTGAAACTGTACCCAACAGCACAATTATATTTTATAGAATAGCACTAGTAATGATGAATTTGGCCTATCCAATTTCCACAATTTCTCCAACCTATCATTATTATTTATTATTATTTTGGGAACTTTATTATCCTCCTCATTAAATTTGATCTTAAGGTGAATGGTTGGTACCAGCCAATAAATTAGTTGATATATATATATATATATATATATATAGAAGTTTGATATAACAGACATGGACCTAGATTATATGTAAAAAATACTCAATGTTGGCATTAAAATAATGG